TTCATGAGTTTTGAATAAATTTGAATGCGCAACTGCATATGTTATGTTAAATCTTGAAGTGTGTTACCTGCCCTTCATGAAATTATTATCTTTGAGCATTCTGCAGTTGTTTCTTTCCAATTTTGTTTTAACTGACGGAAACTGCAAGTGGTCTTTCAGACTAGGATTAATCTCGAAAAAATGAAAGCGGTACAAATTTCGTTGTGGTGTTGCATCCTGTATTTAATACCAGTTACGTTGCAGTTGCCAAAGCCAAGCGAACGTAAAACCAGTTAAGGTGACTATTGTTCACTATGAATAAGGCTACAATTGCTCTTCTGTTCCTTGCAATAGTTACGGTCAATGCCTTCATCGACTTCTCGACATGTGCTCGAATGGATGTACCTGTACTAAGTAAAGTTGCGCGTGGGTTATGCATCAAATCATGTCATCGTCAGGTAAAGTAATTTTTATTGGAAATTGGTCGGAATCTTACCCATTTGGACTGGAAATTAGTGCACTTTCATGGCTGCAGGCAGCACTGGAAAGTTCCAATGGCTCCATAGGCCAAATAATCACCAAATGCGGTGTTACGATATGGGGGAGATTGACTGTGCAAGGGGAAATCAATTACAGCAAGACATACGATTCAATTGTACATCTCACCGTTCCACCCAATTATGACCAACTGTCATCGTTTGATCGCTAATCTCATCTTTTTTACCACGTAAAATCAACTGCAAATTGTCCATATGATTGCGTTTGCCTGTTCATTTCTTACGTACAATATTGCCCCTTGTTGTGAAACTGCATTCGGATATAGTGTGAAAGGGATTTAACGATATAATAATTAAAACGCCCACATATCCGAATGCTTCGAGGGACGGACGAGGCTATTGCGACGCAAACAAAATCGGCTCGCAGGTCGCATTCCTTCAATTTCTGGAAATGTTTTGGGGAACACAAAAAATCAACTTGCGCAATGCAGTTTGCAGCCTCAGCTATAGCCAAATGCAATGAACACTGATATTTTCAGAACTGCGCTACGGGTTATTGCAAGAAAAGGAGTGGACGACCGACTTGCGTTTGCTCTCGATGTAAGGATGGAGCACCTTAAACGAAGACAAGACATACTTATATACATACAAGACATACATACATACTTAAACATCACTGATTAAAATATCCATATGATTCATTCATTTTGTTGATTCTTATCAAAATATACTTGACGGTGTGAAAACCTTCGAATGTTCAATCAAAATTGCTCAGTTCCAGAGAAATACACCTCGGAATCAAAATCAATCGATGTATAAAACCATTATCGATTGCATATTTCTCAATTTAAGGATT